CAGTAAAATAATCATTGGACTGTTCATTTTATTTTAACAACATATGTACTAGCATATGTAGGTATTTTGACAACACATATATATCAGCAAACTTTGAGCTCTGTAGCAGCATCATATGAATTCTGGCATTTTACACATAGTCCACCAGGATGCGCCAACACAAAAGTCAGAGACTTCACATGAGATTTGGACCATCTTGTGGGGGAAAAGCAGATTACTTCCTACTCTCGAGCACCCCCTCTGCTGGGGAAACGTTTTTTCAGGGATACAAACTTTTTCAGAACACTGGTAGACGACAGCCATTACAGACGAACATATGTTTGTTGTTGTTCCAGGAGCAGCTCGGGTCACACGCTAATGTCATTAGTTCGTTATCATTACTGAGCTGTAGGTCTACTTTTTTCACCCTTTTTTTCACATCATGTCTCCTGCTTGGATCTGTTATTATCTCGCTCTGAAGCACGGAGGAGTGTCGGAGGTGAGCTCGCTTCAACTGCTTTTTACAATGCAGTCTCATTTAAAGGCACAGTGTGTAGGATTTTGTCAATTATTTTAGCCGAAATTGAGAAAATCACTAATGACAATAATACAAAACATTTCTAATCATTGCAGACAAAGACCTTGTTTTATTATTTTTACGTTATCAAAAGCTGTTTATATCTACATGGTCGCGGGTCGCCACACAGGCAGCCGCCATCTTGCACTGCCATCTTGTCTACGAAGGCTCATGAAGGACAAACTGCGGTGGCGGTGTCAAAAACGGTTTTAGTTGTAATACTATAAATGTAATATTTGTTGTGTTATGGACTAATTATTTATATCTGTTCTACCTTGACGCTGTCCAGTAATTAAATCTTGTGATAACTATTTTTCTGCTGTTTTACTCTATCAGCCCAGACTTCAAGACTCCAGCAATGCATGACCTCTTTTATTCTGATAAGGTGTTTCCAGGCTAACAGCCCCGTCATTGGTTAGATGGTTCACAGTTGGCGAACTGTGATTGGTTGTAAGCATGTCACATGATGTTATATTATCGGCTGCTCTCCACTGACGAGCCAGCCACAACACGACAGACTTAGTTGATTGACCTCTGTTTTGTTGTTGCTCAGATTAAATCATTTGACGACCATACATGCAGACTTTCTGGGCATTTATTCCAACGTGTTTCTGCATTCTTGGTAAATCATGCCACCACAGTTTTTTGGCGTTGTCAAGCAGAGACCACTAGGAGATCGACGGACCAAGGCCATATTGCAGGTGGACTGATATGAGTGAGAGCAAGACTGCTCAGGACCGT